TTTGGTTACATTTTGAATGTAGAATCTACGAGCAAAGTTTGTGACGCGAGTAGCCAAACACCCTGTATTGGCTCTCGGTATTTCAAGTTAGGTGCTTTGCTCTAACGATGACGGTGGTCAATGAATGACTGTAAGGGTATAATTTTGTTCTGGTAGTAACAGACACATACAAACTAGCATCAATAACGTAAAAAATGAGCATAAATATTTATGTTTTACTAAGATTATTTTTAAACCAAATATGCTTTCTTCCTGGAGTCAAGGCTAATTAATTATATAAAACACAAAATTAATGATTGAAAAAAGTTTTATTGCTTATTAAAAATATTTTAAAACATTAAAAAAACGTTGAAACTATAAAATAATGTAAAAGTTAAAAGGCAATGTTGTTGGAAAGTTAAGAAAAATAATAATATTTAAGAATGCTATTAAAATAAAAGAAATGAAACTAAAATAATTCACGAACACTCTAGATCAAGGTATAGTCTTGAAGAAACAAGCAAATTCAGTTATTACTACCAAGATTTCGACCTATTTGAAGGCCTCATCATCAGAGCTTTGTTTTTTTGATAAGACAGCAATATCTCACTGGCACTCTCAACACGACACCAAGAATGACATAATTACACAGAAGACAAACACTTTGAGTGAGTAGAAATACTTTGATTAAATATAAAAAATATATTTTGCATTATATAAAGTCACTTTTTTTCCACATTCTACATGGATGTGTTAAATGTAAACAATGTTTGTAAATCCCAGACACTGAAGATGGTCTCAATAAAGATCGAAACGTTGGTACGATAAAGAAAATGTTTTTCTGATTTCCGAATAATCATAAAACCATTATTACCGCCTTATACTCTGGCTCAAACACTGTAAGAAAAGTGAATTGAAGTATCAAAATTTCAGTTTTTAGGGATTCGATTTTTTGTCGTCTTTGTCCCACTGTGCGTCGTACCTACCCAGAATTTTTTTTTTCAATTAAAAATAATATAAGTATATTTTGGATAGTTCTAACGCTGATAAACTACATTGTTCATTGCTTGTTTGTAGGTTTTTCTTTTTGTTTTCGTATTGTATTTCTACGAATGTATTTATTTCTTTTGTAACGCTGCAGTTAAATTATATCCACGACATTTAGCCTTATGGGGGAGGTAAGAAAAGTGAATTGAATTATCAAAATTTCAGTTTTTAGGGATTCGATTTTTTGTCGTCTTTGTCCCACTGTGCGTCGTACCTACCTGGAATTTTTTTTACGGGGAGGTAAGATTACGGATTGTCTCAATTTCTTATTACCCTCTCCCTATCTCAGGGCTTCGTCAATCAAGGATATAAATATAAATATAATAAACACACCACTTACGCGTAAAATAAAAATAAACAATTAAAACAAGTTAATCTGCTTAGCAGTCATACCGCTCCAGCTTTCTCAATATTCTTAGTTGTAATTGGGGAAGAACCCATTCCATTCACGCGAATAAATTACAGTCAACCTGCCTCTAGATTAGTCGATATTCCTCGGGGTAATTGGACAAGAAGACCATCCATTCAAGCTATTAAATTACATTCGACGGACCAGACATCATTCATACTGCCCCAGAGTACTCAATATTCCTAGAGATAATTGGGAAAAAAAACCTACACTCGCGTTAAAAAATTGCATTCTAACTGCCCAGACTACAATAAAAGTAGTCTACTCAATTACTTTTGTAATACTTAGCAATAAAAATTGTTTCTATATTACTCTTTTCATTCAAACTAATAAATACAGTCAAACACACATTCATTCGCGCCCGTGAACTCGATATTCGTTGAGTTCGGCCATTCCATTTGCTATAAATATATTATTTCCAATAAATAACATTTAAACGAAAAACATATAAAAACGAATGATCTATACACAGAAAAATATTTTTGACTTTGTGGCAATGGAGCAACTATTCATTATTTGTCTACTCAAATTTTTGAAATTTCGTTAGAATCGTTTTTATGACTTCCACTTTGATAATTCCCTTTCAAAATGGGCATTAATTCGTACGTATATTTAAAATAATTTTACCTCAAACATTAGACAATGAAATAACTATTAATTTATATAAATAATATATTAAAACGTATTTTAAAAATTATAATCGCAACGCGATAGCAACAAAAAACTAGAAGTTACATAAAACTCTTCAATTCAGACATTTTCAGTCAGAATAAGCTTTGAGTTTTTAGCAAAGAATCATGTTTGGATTTAATATTTACAAAAGATTATCTCGCCATTCTCGATAAACGCAAGCTTTCCACTTTCAGTGAACCAGTACACCATAAATGTTTCAAATTTGTCTACATATGAGGTCTTAGCCCTTTGTTCTACAACGTAAGGGTCAAAGTGACCCAAAAATTTAAAAAACGCGCGTGTGTCAGAGGGTTTTGATTGGAGGGGTTGAGGCTATGAATAGCTTGCCTTCTAGTCTTCCTGTAGATGGTAAATGACCTTGTAATATTCGTATAAAGTAAGAAAAATCTTAGTATGGGTCAATATGACCCCGCGTTGTACGAAATTCACTAATTTCATGGTCAGCTTGACCAATTAATATATTACAATTAATTAAGCTTTTTAGTTGCGATAAAAAAGTCAATGGCACGAGCGTGATTCGAACCCACGATCTTCGGCTAGATACGCCGGTGCTCTACCACTTGAACTATCGTGACCTCGATCCACTCGGACACTAACTTCCCATCTCAACCACACCTTTTGAATTTTCCCTCCCATTTCCCATTTTTCAAATGTAAGCTATTTGATTCTCGGCGACAAATGAAATGGCCACGGAGAGCTTTAGTGAAGTATATTTCATTTTAAATCATTAAATTCAGTAATTTTGTGGTCCGCTTGACCAATTAATATATTACAATTAATTAAGGTTTTTAGTTGAGATAAAAAAGTCAATGGCACTAGCGGGATAAGGGGAAATACAATTTACAAAGGAGGGAAAATTCAAAAGGTGGGGTTGAGATGGGAAGTTAGTGTCCGAGTGGATCGAGGTCACGATACCTCAAGTGGTAGACCAGCGGCGTATCTAGCCGAAGATCGTGGGTTCGAATCCCGCTCGTGCCATTGACTTTTTTATCTCAACTAAAAAACTTAATTAATTGTTGTACGAAATGTTTTTTTAGTTTTAGTTCAAATTTAATTCCTTTTCCATAAATTTAATTAGTTTTCTCTATGCTTTTCTTTGTAATCTTTCTGGATTGTTTCAGTCAAGGCAAATAGTACACATTTTATAACTGACGAAGAAATTCGACGAGAAATAGAAAGAATGAACGCCACCAGTGATAATGAAAACGAGGAATACTTTTCTGAAGAAGTAACATACAGTGAAGATGAAAATGATTTGCTACCAAACGACAATGATAAACCTGACTCTTTGGACGTTCTACCTTAAGACGATGTGCTTTCAGAGGACCACTTTAGCCCAGAAATTTTTCAAATTTAGGTTCCGAAGAGAGAGAACAAAGCAGAAACTTTGTGTTGGGCAAAAATGGCGAAACTATCTGGACTGATATCGATCTTTTACCGTCCAGAAACGTCAGAGTAGCTTCAAAGAGTAGGATTACCCATTTGCCTGGTGCCAAAGGAAATGCTCGGAACCTTGTAGATGTGGAACCACTGTATTCCTTTTCATCAACAAAGCCATGATTGATGGTAAAATATACCAATGAAGAGATTAATAGAAAAAAGAACTCAATATAGGTCTGCCCAGCGCTAGATTGGACCCACAGATGGTCTTGAAATGAAAGCTTTGCTGGGCCTTTTATTTTTCAGCGGCGTTATAAGGGATTCGAACCTGAATGTCTCAAACATATTTTGTCGTCTATTTATACCATCGATTTTTCGAGCAGTGATGTCCAAAAACAGATTTGTCTGCCTTCTTTGCTTTCCTTTTTTCAGTGTATGTATGTCATTTATGTTCCACTTTTGTGATGTTTACATGTACCTTTTACATTTTAATTTTATAAGAATTTAATTTGCACTTTACGAAGAAGTTTGACAATAGTTTTGTAGATAATATCAAAAACTAGAAGTTAATTTTTTTGGAAGGAAAGATTTTGGGATTAGAGTTTTCCTTGCTAGACTGTACTTTATTGTGATTACAGTACGCTTTATCGCATTTATTTTGAAAAAATTAAGGTTTTTAGTAAAGGTGAAAAAAAGTAAATGGCACGAGCGGTCATAAGGTGGGGTTGAGATAGGGCATTGTAGTTATATTAATTACAACATTCTTATTTTAATGCATACCAAATTAAACGAGATCAAAAATTCATGAGTTTTTATAAAAATTATTTAATTATGATGGTTAGGAAGAAAATTTGTCAAAATACTGGAATAACTTTATTTAAAACAAAAAACAAAACAAAAAAATGGCAAAAAGAGGGAAAATTAAAAAAAGATGGGGTTAAGATGAGAAGGTAATGCCCAAGTGGATCGAGGTAGAGCAGCGGCGTATCAAGCCGAAGATCGTGGGTTCGAATCCCGCTCGTGCCATTGACTTTTTTCATCTCAACTAAAAACCTTAATTAATAATGTATTAATTGGTCAAGCGGACCACGAAATTAGTGAATTTTCCAAAAATGTTGAAAAATATGACTCATTGCACTTAAAAACAGGTTGGGTCAAAATGACCCGAGGTTGTAGTACATATCCGAGCGTTTCACGGTGTTGACCGAAGGTTAAGAAAGGAGTATACAATTAAGAAAAACCTCTTAATAAATTTACACAAAATTTACTTACTTCCTTGATTAATGTTAAGGTTTTTAGCTGAAAATCTTCCCATTTATGGTAATTAAAGATAGAAAACTATATTATTTAATTAAATTGAAGTTTATATATAGGAAATATTGAAATATCGTTTATACGTGATCTCATTTTTTAGTACACATCCCAGAATTTGTTATTAGATTTTAACAGAATTACATATTTAGATATTCGTGAGTTGCGTTTTTCAACTTACCGTCGTCGTGTATGACCCGTATCCTTTTGTCGAGTGAAACTCTCTCGTGTCCTGCGGTAAGGACTTTCCACCTCGCTGTTCCACTGTCACCCTTTTTCCAGACAACTGTATTCGAGCCTATCGATCTAACAACGCACGTTATTAACGCATCGTCCCCTTCGTAAACGTGAAGCGGGTGAGGGGAACTGCGAGCACTCGGCACTTCAGCAACTGTAAAAAAAAAGAAAGAAATTGTTAAAGTACATTCTTGAAGCGTAACAATTTAAAAAGTACTTGTGTATACTTTACTTTTTTCATTCCATGCAAATGTACAATTACAATGTTTATTTTTCGGCAATTGGTTGTAAAAATAATAAATACTCTTTCTAACTCCCCATTTCATACTTAAAAGAACATTTATTGAATATAAATCACAGGTAAGAAAAAAGTTAATTATATACTTCGTCATCGTCCCTACCGTGATCAAAGTAAGAGCTAAAGTTTTATATTTAAACTTTACCCCGTGTCCACCAAAACAAACTATTTACCTGCGATTTATCTATCAAAAATACAATACCATTTTTTTTATATTAAAATCGTTTTGGAATGAGGATTGGCATTTTGTAAATATACGGTTTTAATTTTCAAGGCTTATCGCTAAGTGATAAGCAGTGCTTATTTTCGGACTTATTTCATTCTTTCTCTCGCTGGCTATTTCTTTGTCTATCTCTCTGACACTCTCTCACTTTTTGTCTACCTAAATCTCTGACTATCCATCTCTTTTTATTTGTGTTTTTATATCACCTCCTCACTGTTTCTGTATTTTTTCTCTTTCCCTTTTTCTGTCTACCCATCTCTCCGACTCTCTTTGACTTTTTGTTTCCTTGTCAGTCTGTCTGTCTGTCTGTCTCTCTCTCTCTCTCTCTCTCTCTCTCTCTCTCTCTCTCTCTCTCTCTCTGTCTCTCTTTCTTTCATTATTTGTCACTCATGTGCTTTTGTGTCATGTCACACTTTTGTTCTCTTTCTCAGTCAATTTCTCTCTCTCCATGTTATCTTTTATCTAACTATCTACTTATTTATTTACCATTCTCCCTCCATTCTCCTTTCTCTCTCTCCCTCTCTCTTTCTCTCTCTCTCTCTCTCTCTCTCTCTCTCTCTTTCTGTATCTCTTTCATTCTTTATTTGTCACTCTCTGTTTCTCTCCTTTGCTTCGTTCTATTTCTCTATTATCCTCTCTCTTCCCCTCGCTCTCACTCTTTGTCGCTTCCTCTTCCCCTTTTCTCTGTCTGTATGTCCATATTTTCTCTCATTCTCGTTCTTTTGCTCTCTTTGTCGGTCAATTTCTTTCTCTCCATGTCATATTTTATCTAATCATCTACATATCTATTTATCATTCTTCCTCCATTCCTCTCTCTCACTCTCTCTCTTTCTATATCAAGTACCATCCAAAAATTCTAATGACTCCAACATTGCTTACAAACTTATTTGTAAGCTTGGATGTTGCTTCATTGTAGAATATCTTTGTAATTTAAATGGCGCACCAAAAGTTATCGAATACTATCAAAATGAAGAAAAACAGCATACGAAAGACAAAATTATATTTTTTTAAACTGTAAATGGTATATATATAATAGATTTATAGGAAAATTACAATTACAATTTAAATAAGGTGTAAACACAAAGAAGCCTTTAGAATACAGACGTTTATGAGATAGCGCATGAAAATGCTTTTGTTATATCATACCGTCTGCTAAATTGTAACCACAGTGAATTCATAATTATTAATTGATTATTTTTTAAATATCTGTTTACACATTTTATTCTTTACAGATAGATTCGTTTTGCCGTAAATTTAATTTCATTATAACGTAATTAACCAAAAACTGTCTCAGGTCATTAAACCGTAACAGTTAGCCAAAATATAGCGCAGTAAGCGAAAATTACATGTTTCAATTAATTTTAATTTACTTGATCAAAAGGTACAAATACAACTAAATCTGTAGGTAGCTGATGTGTAAAGCCTCGGCGGTTCTGCGAATTGTTAAACTATTTCTGCTTATTAGGACCACTCTGCATGATTTGAACGAATATGCTTAGATCTCATAGAACCTAGCTTAAATAACAAGGCTCAAAACTCTCGTAAAATAATTGCTTTTGAAAGGGTAATATTCTACTTGCAATTAAATATTGATTCAAAAACCAATATTAAAATCAATGAGTGCTTCTATATAAATATTAATTAATTATGAATATGCTAAAAAAGCAAATTTGATTTTTTTCTAGGTAGTCTATACCCGCTCGGATTAAACTATAACTTTTAAATAAGGTCTACTTCCAACATAAAAATAGCAAATCACCGATTTTTTACCAACCTTTGTTGTTCCAAACAGGTTAAATTTTTAATTACTTTGATTAACCGGAGTGCATATGCATGTTGAATTATGATTTGAAAGTAAAATTAACAACCTAAGACATAATTGACTCTGCTTAATATTCCTGCTGATGAGATAAAAAGTTATTAAGTAATGTTAATTAAGTTTAGAATCTAGTTAAACTTGTAGTCGGAATGATTTATAGCAAAACTGCCAGGCCACACTATAGCTTCTGAATAAACTGCCTGCATAAACAATAAACTAATATATATTTTATCTTCCGGACTTTTCGTAAATGATTTTAATGTGGTTCTTTATTAAGCGCCAGTCTAAGTTGGTTCAGTTGCTTCAAATAAGCCAATATTCTAATCTCATTCATGGAATTCAGAAACACTTGTTGAATGTTGGTCAAATATAAAGATCTTAACTCGTTTGTTTAACGGCTTTACAAAACAAGTAACTGACAGAGGTAAACAGTGAGGATTAGAACATGTTTATTATAGGGTTTACTGTTTATTTTGCAATTTTCAAATTTGAAATATATACATATGTGTTTTTATCATTTTTTAGTCCATTTATTCGTTAGCGAATAAATAGGTATGGATATTGACTGAGCGATTTTATTAGTTGGATGGAAAAGTTGTCAAACACAAGATATACGTCATTGTTGATAGTGATATGGTAGATAAAAATTTTTTGGCAGGGACCCCGACAGTACCTTTTTGTTTGACCACAATGGTCTAAATTTTGCAGAAATTCATATTTTTTAGTCTTAGAGGTCTTCATACTTGTCCTAGTACATGTTAAGTCTGATTTTCTGTTTATTTTACGTCTGTCGTTTAAGTACTATAGCTTTCGATGCTTAACTACACTAAAAACGAAAAAAGTGACCACATTATTTTATTTTTTTTAGTAAATAGTTCAATACTTAGAATTTTTATGTTTTGTTGTTTACTGATTATAAGAAAAATATAGACATAGATAAAATAAAAAATTAAATTGAGTAAAACAATTTTACTAAAAATTTTACTTTGGAAACAATGACAAAAACTTAATTCAACGGATTATTTTTCCTTTTACGTTGATCACCGCTTGCAACCGGCGTGGGACCGATTTTATGAGGTTTGGAATTAGTGCTGTAAAATATTTTCATACTTCTCCAACTGTGCATTTTTAATTCTCTTTACCCTCTCTGAGAACTCGGGCCAAAGGTGTTCGACAGGGTTTAAATCGGGCCTATATGCTCGCCACTTTTGGACTTCACAAAACCTCAAACCTTGACTTATATGAAAACCAGATTTTCGGACCAATTGATGTGTCTTCTTCGAAATTTAACCGAACTGTTCTATGCATTGTCTTGAGTAACCTGCAGTAACTTGGTAGCGATGGACGACCTTTTGACCTGTATTTCTAAAAATGATAAGCATCTTGGCCACATTCGCTTGACTTCTTCCATCTTTAAACAATGCTCTGATTCTAGCCGAACCTTAACAACATTAATACTTAAAACCAACATTCAAATTTGAGACTTTAAAATTACTTACAAAATCCAATTGTAAACGCAAGTAGGAGATTTTATCTGTGTTTTATTTACTTCTATAACTTTAATATGGGCCAAATATTGTCATAAGATGGAGGAGCGTTTCAGAGATAATTAAAAATATTAAGAGGGACAGCCTTTTTTTGTCTTTCAGTGTAGAATTCTGTCGGTATCTTGATGATGTGTCTGTTGTTATTTTCAACTGTGGAAATATTTTCCACAAAGTTTCTCGTAGTCGGCTTTATTATATAACCTGGAGTGGTACCGTATTGCTACACGTGGTATAAAGTGGTAAGTGGAATGGATTTTATATTGTAATTAACTGAACTATCCATTTACGTTTTAGTGGTGAATTGACCAAGTTACTTTTTTCAATTAATTATTCTTTCTACGTAAGGTCTTAGTTGAGATAAAAAAGTCAGTGTCACGAGCGGGATTCGAACCCACGACCTTCGGCTAAATATGCTACAACCGTTCCAATTTTCCCTCTTTTTGCCATTTTCAAATGTCTTGTAATCAGGATTGGATACTCAGCGACTTATGAAGTGGCCACGGGGAGCTGTTTTGTGAAGTGATACTTATTTTACTTATTAAATATTAATCTATTTATGTTTCAGTGGTCAATTGACCAAGTTATTCCTTTTTATGTAAGGTCTTGGTTGAGATAAAAAGTCAGTGTCAAGAGCGGGATTCGAACCCACGATCTCCGACTAAATACGCCCCTACTCTACCACTCGAGCTATCATGTCTTCGATCCTCTTGGTCACCATCTCACTTTGAAAATGGCAAAAAGAGTGAAAATTCGAACGGTTCTAGGTTGAGATGGAGAGTTGGTGTCCGAGAGGATCGAAATCACGATAGCTCAAGTGGTAGAGTAGCGGCGTATCTAGCCGAAGTTCGTGGGTTCGAATCCCGCTCGTGACACTGACTTTTTTTATCTCAACCAAGATCTTACATAGAAAGAATAATTAACTGAACTATGTCTTTCCTCGGAAGGTTTGGAAGGAATTGAGGAGTGAATTGATTGTGTTAAATTGTTACATCCATGTCACAGGGTTGAGTCATTCCTAGGTAAGCGCTCAGGCAGTGTTTTTCTTTTCTCAGGCGGGGTAAACGGTGTTAACAGATCTAAAACTTTAGTGGATCGTTGGATGATTCAGACAGAAAGCTAATGGATAATAAAGAAGAAAAGTAATTCATGTTTTAAAGATGGGCTTAACGTCCAACTACTCGTTCGGTGTCGCCGATGAAAGGTCAAATCATTTTAAGACATTTTTCTTACTATTATTTTCAATGAAAAAACCATGGTTTACGTGGAT